CCTCTCAAACTTCTGCGAGAAAAACTTGGTTGCGAACATATTGTCCTCAAGATACTCCTTGTAAGGGTGATTCTTTGGGACGAGCCTCCGGAACTTTTCAAACTGTTTCTCCGCTTCATCTTTCTTTTTCAGCAGGGTATATATGATACCCTGACATAAGTACGGCCTGAAATCTCTTGGTTCTTCCTTGACAAGTGCCTGATAGGACTTCAGCGCATCAGTAAAGGACCCCTCCATGACTTTAATCTGCGCAAGTAATAGCTTCAAGTCTCTGACATCTGAGTTCCTCTTTTCCTTTTTGCAAAACTCCACTGCTTTTTCAACCCTTTTCACCAAGTCGTTCAATGGCTCATTTGATTCGGAAGTAGCCATTGCAAGGCCATGATAAGCTTCAAAACGGTAGGGATCTTTATTCAGAATGTCTTCGAACCCACGTTTGGCCAATTGGTAGTCACCATTATAGATATACATATGAGCTTTCATAAGCGGCCACTCAAAGTCCTGGGGTTCAAGTTCAATCAGACGGTCAAGGACCTGAATAGCCTCTCCAATTTTATTCGCTCTGATTTTAAGCTCCAAGAAAGACCGAAGAGCTTCGACGTTATTAGGGTTATCCAGCAATTGCTCTACAACAGGTCTCTCCTTTTCATCAAACCAAAGTTTATCCATCGACTCTTGGGCGGACTCCACCGTGGGCGACGAAACCGGAGCTGCAATAACAGGCATATTCTGAAAACGCATGAAGGAAAATGCAGACGCGGCTATAATGATGCAAACAGTTTCGACAACGGGCGACAACAGAGGATTTAGGGTTCGGAGCAGACGGGTCAGAATGGGTCCGGGCTTATGAAATGAGGGATCGCTGGAGGAGGATGAGCACGACGATGGGGAAGAGGCTCTGAGAGGCGATAAGCGGAAGGATGAAGAAGGACATTGGAGGGGCGAAGCCGGGGGTGGTAGTGATCTGAAGGAGACCGAGGAAAAGGGGCTTGGAAAGGACAGGCGGTGGTGACTAGTTGATATGTGCAACGGTTGGCCACAGTGGTGCAATTTAGAGAGAGACTCCATAGTGTGAGGTCTCTGTGAGAGAGAAGGAGTGAGAAGAAGCGAAGATAGGGGATCGGGAGGTAGCCTAAAACCCTGATTTCAGACAGCAAATGGTAATTGATGGAAAGGAGAGGGGTAATCGATTGCTCTCACCCTGGTTTGAGGGATGAATGTAGCAACGATGTCGTTTCGTCTCCTCTATGGCTTTTCCTTCGTTCCACCGCTTTTGAGTTGCCCAAAAAAAAAAAACTACTTCCGTTTTTAGTATAAAAAATAATTAACTCATTTAAGTAAAGTAAAAAATTAGTTAAATTAGTTATTTATATTAAATATGTATTGTCTTTCTTAAAATATTTTTGTTAATCAAATATATTGATTAGAATTATCATTATTATAAAGACTATTTTAGGAAAAAAATAAATATGAGAGATAAAATAAATTAAAATTTTATATTTATGATCAAAATAAAAATTAAACAAGATGTTATATTAAGTACTACCTCATACCCTTAATATAAGATCTTGTTTAACTTTTATTTTAATCCTAAATATAAGATCCAAATCCACCTTATCTTTTATATTTATTTATTTATTCTTAATGTAGTCTTTTTAACAATGGTAGTCTTAACTAGTATACTTCATTAGCAGGGATATTTTAGGAAAGACAACAGCTATTTATTATAAATAACTAATTTAACTTCTTTTGTTAATCTTCTCAAATTAGTCAACTAACTCTTATAATTAAAACCGGAGGTAGTAAAACAAAATACAGAGGAATGGGGTGTTTGGATTAAACCAAACCATTGTTTGGAAAATAACTTATGAAGAATAGATTTTTTTAAGAATAAATTTTGTAAAAAAGTGATTCTGATAAAGTGGAAGTGTTTGGATAGTTGTTATCAGAAACACTTTTATATATGGAAATTACTAAAAAGGGCACAAATTAATATGATAATTACATAAAAGATAGATTTTATAATATATTTTAATTTGAAGGAACAAAATTGTTAATAATATATTTTTTACCAACATAATTAATAATATATAAGATAATATAATTAGTAAATAATTAATATGTGCATATATATTTATAAATTATAAGATTAAATATATTTATAAAAAAATAATTAAGAGATGTTAAAGTCATATTACCATTGAGATCTACTGTAACAGTTACAATCATACTTTCCGATTTGAGTTAGAAGCAGAATATATTCACTTGTGTTTGAAACCATGGTTTTGAATAAAAACCGTGATTTGCTGATTTCTTTCCTGTTTAGCGAATTCATGGTTTCGGTCCCAAAATTATGGTCTTAGCCATTTGCTAAACAGACCCGATGTTATTAGTCAGGCATTGTGAAAAGGAGATGAGAACGGTAGTGCAGTGAAACTGACTTTTTTCTCATACACATGTTGAGGTCGAAAAGCATGTCACTCCGTTGTTCTAAGATTGGCAAAGAAAAACTGGCAAAAAAGTTATAAAAAAATATTCTACGAGAAATTAATCAGTTCGACCTCTTTTTTATTTTTCGAGAGACATTTCATAAAAGCCAAAGTAATGCGTTATCAGTGAACCTCAATAAAATGAATTGAATATAAGAAAAATGAAAACATCTTTTTTTTTATTTCATAAAGGATGAGATGCGAATGAGAGGGTCCAGCGAAGGGAACGAATTCAGTATGTACTTAATTTTATTATTATTTAAAAAAATAATTATGATATATTTGTGATAGTTTTTATACCAGGAATTATTATGATCTACAAATAGTGGGCCCGGATTTTTTGGGCAACCGAAGGAGGATGCTTGAATTGTGATGGGAGGCCCATATAATAAGGCCTGTACAAGATTTAACGAATTGCCCAACTCATTGTGAGCTGTGCCGTGATCCTCCTCCTTTCAAAATTTTTCATGCGACTGATTCATGAAGTTTCTGGACCCTCCATGAAAAATCTCTGTCCAACACCTCAAAAATTTCTTGCTTTTCTTCCCCTCTGAATTGAATTTTAAATTTTAGCGCGGTGAATTATCAGCGAATAATACTGTGCTCTTGTTATGATCCGGGGGGGGGGGGAGAAAAATCTTATACTCCTGTGCATGAAAGTTTCTAAATATAAAGTCATTAATTTAAGCCTGCCTATAACCTCAAGCGGATAGTTCATACCTCTTTCTTATATCTTTCCAGATTACAACGACTCATGATTCATACATCATGATCATACAAAATCTAACATTTCATCCTTCTCCTCGTTTAGATTGCCCGTGCAAACTTCACGCAAATCCCCCTTCTTCTCTTGTCTCACCAGCATGTATCAAATTTTTATTATTTATGTAATTCGTATTCAAAATACAGAACTTTGCATAGCAAGTATAACGGGTCAACTTTTGCTTTTTCCTGCCAGCTAATTTATAATACATTTATATCTCGATATATTATTTTTTTAACATCTTATAAATTTATTTTGCTCACCAATTGTTACTTTAATTATTATGTTCACAAGTTTTTCTGCATGTGTGATGTGGTGTTTTTGGTGGACATTTTGATTTTGAGTTTACCTATTTCTTATATCTTTGCAGATTACATGAAGTTCAGGACAAGAAAAAAAATTACAGGAAGTTTTTTTTCCTTTGCTCCGAATTTTTAGCCAAATTTTACTTATTTTTTAATAAAATTTTTATAATGGTTTTTTATACCCTCTGATTTTTAAATATTATAGTGAAAAACAAATGAGATGTGATATTTTCATACCATCCCAGTCGAGACTCGAGAAGACATATCGGACACGAGACAAAAATGTCATTCTGATTATTACTGAGGGGGTATTTGGATGAGTCTATAAGTACTTTTTAAAAGCATTTTTTCACAAATCTATACAAACTTATCTACATATTTACTTCGTAAATCGTGAAATCACTTCTGAAATTATAATTTTGTTTATATCTAAACACTCTTGAAATGAGGTTGTTCTAGAGAAATTAAAAAGCTACAAAGAATCTTGAGTTGGAAAATAAACATTTGAAAGTAATCTTACCTCGAATATGAAAACGATCATTTTAAGCGAAGGTGAATAAGTATTTCCCCTGCTGGCAAAAAAACAAAAAGAGAGAGAGGGTATTTCCTCTTCTTTTTTCGTGGCGAAGGGGATTGGATTGGATCGGATCTTTTCATCCGACATGGATATACATGATACTAATAATTGTACTTCGCATCAGAGAATAGTGCTAAAAAACAATTGTGCGTTATATAGATAAGCGTAATAATTGTACTTTGTGATGCTGCTTACATGCAAAGCCAGAGCAGCCCATTACACGCGAAGTCGAAATCTGTTATTAGCTTCATGCGATAATTTATTCAATTTTTATTATATGTATTGATGACGCCTTACTAACAATACTTTTTTGCTATTACGTGGTAAATAAGAGACGTGCTTCTATTTATTTGCGTTAATCAATCATGTGATGTGGAGTCTTCAGTTACATATGTGTTGACTGTTGGAGATCCATCAGAAATTGACAAGTTAATAGATAGCGGTGTCTTTATTATGAATAATTGAAGAAATTAAAATGCGATCTGGGGGACCAGAAACAGGGGGGTCCAGGAGCATGCCACCGTGATTATCAATTTCCAAAAATCCATTACAAAGCAGGCACATAAGGCGAAACGATACCGTATCAGTGGTGGCAACTCAGTCCCTTACAAAGCAATACAAGTCAACATACTATCGGTCCATCACCATTCGGCGGTGTGAACTATACATAACACCAAACGACACAACCGTCACATTATACTACGCAGGACGGGGGCTGGCTGTGGCACGCGTCTCGTATTGGATCATCTCCTTCGCATTTACACACGTGTACGCCGTGTCATATTTCCCCCGTCGCTGTGGAGTTCCCATTTCAAACTCCTGGACCACTACGACGACGTTTCATCCCTTTTTTTTGTTGCTTTAGCTTTTTTTATTTTTTTATTTTTGTCTTGCTCCGAAGAAAAAAGGTCGCTAGCTAGCAGGCACTTGGCAGGGGCGTTATTGCGGGTACTGTCCGTCTTGAATTATTAATTTGAACGACTAAGGTTGTTTGCGTCCGAAACCTAAACTCCATGGGAGGAGGAGGAGGAAGACTCCGAAACCACGTCGTGTATCCTTCTCCTTGTCTCTGTCTCTGAAGCCCTCTCCGCTCTGTTTCTCATGTATGCCTCGAAGAACTCCTTATTCTCTTTCTCCAGCTCCTTCCACACTGCTTCCCCCACATCAATACATCATGCATGCACGTGTCTCATTTATTCATTCATTCCATACATGTTACTTAACATCTATATATTTAAATGCAACAAATTATACTTTCTACCAAAAAAAGGGGAACAAATCATCTCAATATATCTACGTATATGTATCCATACACTTCCATACTCGCATAATATATATAAAAGGGAGTTTTATTATGTGACCTATATAAAGGAAAAGGTGGGAGCGGTGGGAACTGACCGGTGGAAGTAATGACTGGTTTGATGTTGGCGTGTTTGGAAAGAGCTTCCATGCACTCTTCCTTGTTCATGTTGAACAGGATGCATTCCTCAATTAGACGGTGCACCTATTCATATATTTGCCTTTGATTAGTTCAGCCCTCGGGCTAATACTCATCAACTTGACCAAAAGAAGGAGGTTGACGATTAATAAAGTAGAAATCGTAATTATATGATTAAAAACCGTGCGCATATATATAAAGGGACAGAACTAACCAATCGGATATAAGAATCAGGGGATGAGCAGTTTTCCATGCCGTCCGAGTTGCTCCTTTCTGAACCAGAGGACGAGACGGTAATATAAAGAATATCTGCAGGGAGAGGGAGGGAGATCGCAGAAGTTGAAATGAACAGAGATGAGCGAAGAAGCTAGAAATTAAAGAACGATCTTGAGCTGGAAAAGAGAGAGATGATGGGAGAAGAAAAAGGGAAGGAGGAGGGAGACGAAGGGAGACGAAGAAGGCGTTGGATTTATATGGAAATAGCTGCACAATGAGGGGAATGAATTGAGTCCCACTGTGTGTCAGTAAAATAACGATTATTGAAACCTAAACAGTAAAAAAGAACATAGACGAGGGACGCCCCTCATGAACATATCATGCCATGCCAAGCGGCTGTGGGGTCCATACTCCCACGTGGGACTAAAACAGCGATTGGTCGAGAGGCGATTAGGGGAGATTCTATGAGTTTTATGATGACGTGGAGAAGTGGGCCATTGTCCACGTGAATACTGGGCCCCGTGTCCCTCCCTCTTTCGCCCCGCCACTCTCACCCACTAACCGCGAATGACTCCCTTATTGACTTGCTTGTTTAGGCAAGAATCCAACCCTCGTAATCAACCCAACAAAAAATCCAACGGTGATGCTCCGCTTTTTCGCTTTGCACGAAAATTTTTAATTTTCTTTAAATTAATATATATTTTTTCACCCTTCATTTGCCAACTTGTTTTTTTTTTTTTGTTTTACCTCTCCCCCTCTCTCTCGAAGTAAGGGTTGGCAGGTGTGGCCATTGCATAACATAGCGCAGACGGTGACGTGGGTTCCCTGACTTTTTTTGTCTCTAACTTTTCTTTTTCAAATTTAATACTCCTCCGATTCTTAATATAGAACCTAATTAGTGAGTTGATTTTGGTTCTAAATATAAGACTCATTTTTCATATTTATTAATTTTTTCTAAATTACCCCTATAGATACTCCTTCAACCATAATCAAGTAGAAGAGAAAAATGAGGTATTAAAAAAGATGATTATGGTATTTTAGGAAAAACGTGTCACATTTCTTATAATTAACTAAGTTACCTAACTTTCTTAATCTAATCAAATTAGTTAAATAGATCGTATATTAAGGATCGGAGGAGTATTTTATGACCATGGCCAAGTTAATAAATATTTCATAGAATAAGTAGTAAATTACTATACAAAACAGGTTTTATATTTAGGATCGGAGTAATTAATATATATATATGACCATGGCTAAATTAATAAATATTTCATAAAGTAAGTAGTAATTACTAAAGCGATAATGATGAGGGGGCACAAATATAAACCAAGTTGAGAAACATTACAAGTTGCATCCCAATATCGATCAACAATATATGATATGGTAAATTTGATAATTCCTTTTTTGCCGGCAAATTTGATAGTTTCTTTCATTATCTTTGATTGATTTAGATTTGATCGGGCTTTCTGCTTCTTAGAACATAACTTTTTTTATTCACCATACGCAGTTTTTTATTCTAAATAAAAAACCTTACATGATAACAAGTTTCCTCGATCAGTAAAAAGGTGCCTGAACTGAGAGTCTGAAACCAAATTAGTGAGACCTGTATAAATTGATCTCACCATAAAAGCGTTATTTTCACCGTTTTTAGACTTCAGAGCTGAGCAAACCAATCGAACTCACTTGTAAATATTATTCCACTTCAACTTTTTGGCCTCCTGGGAGTGATCAGAAAACAAAAGTTTTGTTTAGCTCATTGGCTTCCATGCAGTACTGATCTTGATCTGAATAATATCTAATCTGACTGGTGAATCACATGCCAGACTTGCCTAGAGACGCATCCTTGATTAGCTAAATTAAATTCGAAAAATATATTTTCCTCATGATAACTTCTCGATCAAGTTATTGGGAAATAAAATATAATAAATCCGACGAGAGTGCAACATTTGCTTTGATGCCGTTCTATATATATAGGCGTCAACCAAAGTATCATTTATGCACAGGTTATTTATATTTGTGCTGTGTGCCAGATTTGACTTTAATTGCGTGTATTTGAATGTGATGAAGTATGAACATAACATTTACTATAAATAAATGGCCAGCTGTGCCCACATTCTTTTACTTTTGGACAAATATATACAGGACAATGGGGGAAAAAAGGACGGGATGGGGAATATATGCATATAGAAATCAGTCACCGAGCCACGAACTGTTAAATGAACAGATTAAGGATCTTTCTGGGTTTAAATTCTGATCTTTGTTAGGTTAACAATACAGCTCATCATCGAGGGCCCTCACCATATATATCTTGATCTTATTATGAGCTTTGCTGCAGAACAGGTATTGCATGATGAGATTGGCAAATACTCTTCCGGTATTTAATGTAGGACCTAATTATTAAGTTGATTTTAGTTCTAAATATGAAACCTATTTTTTATATTTATCAATTTTTCTTAAATTACTCTTATTAATACTCCCTCAATCATAGTCAAATAAGAAAGAGAGGAATAATATTAAGAAAGAATATTATGATGTTTTAGGAAAAACATGTCATATTTTTTATGATTAACTAACTTACCTAACTTTCTTAATCTAATTGAATTAGTTAAATATGTCTCACATTAAGTACCGAAAGAGTATTAAATCCATATGCCATAATTTTAGAGGTTATGTTATTTCAATGAACTTATTTTTAATTGGTTTTGTTGAAGGTTTTTGAAACACAGATTTTTATTATTCACATAATTATTACATATTTTGTTTGGTTAAAATAATTTAGACATGTTTCATGGGGCTTCACAAATGAAAATAACAATGCAACTTATTGTAGAGACTTCATCTGATTACTAGCTAAAATAAAACTTTTATATCCAAATGAGGTACAGAACATTTAAAGGACAAAAGTTGGCAAAACAAATTAATAGGTGAAAAGAACTCATAACATGCATATATAGTTAGCTGATCTTTTCTTTTTTTTTTTTCCCCGGGTCATGACTTATGCACCAACTGTCCTTTTTACTGAAAATTCAAACATGTAATCTCATCATGCTTTAAAAAAATGTACGGAAGATGCTTAGTGCCATACAGTCGGATGATTTCAACAGTTTTCCTTTCGGGCATTGATGCAGTTATAATTAATTTTGAATATACCTATTGAAAAAGACTAATTATTTAACATGAAACGTGCATGGCATATAATGTTTTTCCCTATAGGCACTTATAAAAAATTAAAATCTAAACTGTTAAAATATATTAATCTAATGGTTAGAGATTAAAAAAAAAAAGAAAAGAGGAGAGATTCTGAACAGTTAACAAATTGAAAACTTGTTTCGAGAGGTCACAGCATTATTTTAAGGGCAAACAGGGTGACATAATTATGCGTGTCAACCACGCTATACCGTGGGAGAGTGTCGTCATTTGAATAATATATTTAAAGTATTAAGCACTATATCTGATATTATATATTAATTAAATCACGCAATTACTTTATGGTAATGATGGTCTCACATGAGAGGCTTATCGTTCATCTTCCAGATCACCTCGTCTTGGTCCCGTGATGGCTACGCTTGTACAGTGTCCAGACTTCGCAAGATGTGATGCAAAGAGGTGCACCCATAATTAATTAATTGATTGATTGAGGTCCAATTCTTCTTAATTAGTTATACTGCTTGCGATAATATAATACAGCAATCGAAGTATATATGTGTATACAAATATGATGTTCATTAAAATTTTGATTATGTTAAGCATTAATCAGTTTCGTCCCTCTTTTTTCATGTTTATCATATTTTTTTGGGTTAAGGTGCATCCAGCACCCTCAACTATTTTCTCAAGTGCACTCAATGTCCTAAAGTTATTTGTGATGTAATTTTACCCTTAAACTAATTAAAATGGAGAATCTCATTGCTGCCGTTAAATCTAAAACGTCCGTTTAGTTTTTCCCATGTGCTCCTTTTCCTTCCCTTTCTTGTCCCTTTCACTCATCAACCACGCCGGCTATGGCATCCTCAATCAAGTAAAGGCACTGTCAAGTAAAAGTGATTCAAGGTCATCAATTGTCAAATTGTTATATACCAAAATTAAAGTGCCTCGTCCTCACTGAATCTTCCTGCATTACATACCTCAAAAAGTTCTCACCATATTCCATGACTATAGCTAGATGAGTTGGGGTCAGCAAAATCTGAGCAATGAATAATCTTATAATAATTCAATCAACTTCACAATGAATCTCTTCTTCCCTGTTGAAACAAACGGGAATCAAGGAACATGTGTTTCTGTTTACCCAAAAAAAAAAAGCCCTTGTGTTTCTGAGTTTAATAGTTGAGATAAAAAAATGGGTCTTACCTCTTGAAATCGAATGATGTTAGAATGTTTCAAGGATTTGTGATTTGTAATCTCTTTCTGTACATGCTCATAATCTGCAGAATCAAAGGCATGGGGGAGAAGGTAAGAAGAATAATCCTAGTAATTAACGCAAAGATAAATAAACAGAGAGAAGGAACAAAATTGGAATCTCTCTCAATGAACTTGACGGCAAAGAACTCGCCGGTCCGTTTCTCTCTAACCAGCTTGGCAACACCGAAATTCCCAGACCCAACATCTTTGATTATCTCATATCTTTCTGTTGACAATCTCCACAATAGGTTCTTAAAAGATAATAATCTTCTTCACCTTCTGATGGCAATGACGATGAGGATACTGTAGAGCTCGAATTCAAGTTATCATTCTCGCTCCCACCTTCCACCACGAAATGCCCTCACATTCACAGTTCCCACCAAATTCTGTTGGCACAGAAACTAATCGCTGAAAATTCTCTCCACTCCATTGTAAAAATCGTGCACGAAATCATGCTCGCTCTCTCACTGCTGGCCCTGCCTTTCATGCTCCTCGCCAGAAGCCGCCGTTGTTGATGAGTGAAAGACGGGGACAAAAAGGAAGGGAAAGGAGCAAACGGGAAAAGCTTAGCAGACGTTTTCAATTTTAACGGCAGGGATGAGGTTGCACTATTTTAATTAGTTTAAAGATAAAATTGCACCATAAATAACTTTAGAATACTAGGTGCACATGAAAATAGTTGAGGATACTGGATGATGCACCTTAATCCTATTTTTTTTGGGATGATGATCTGTCTCTCTTTTAATTTTATTTTTTTGTTAATGCCCCGTATGTGATTCACGTGATGATGTTGAGCAAATTGAGAGGATATATGGAAAGAGAAATCACGAGCATATTTTACATCTGTTTATGCTTATACATATTAAGAAGAACGTACCCAACCGTTAGGTTTCAAAAAAGGCGTACACCTAAATGTTACGTTTTTTCTTCTTTAATTTGTACGGGCATGAGCCTTGGTTTAGTGCTTGTTTGGAACTGCTTGTATGTTAAATGCTTATAAGCATGTTTATGCAAGTCGGGTTAAAACTCTACTCACATACTTATCTTGTATTTCATAAATCATGATTGAAAAGTTACTTTTGACGAATGCTATTATCATTCCAAACATAGAAATATGCAGACATGCATATATTTAGTATTATGTACCAGATGAAAACTTGTAGAGATCGAACAGCATCAAAAAATAAAATACTCAGGGAATGAAATATGCTGCTAGATCATATATATTGGCGTGATGTTGGAAATTGCAACAATGAACCTATATTGTAAACTAATCGCCAAGCATGATTTTACCTGAATCAATTAGGATCACTTCTCCATTATATGATCACTCAAGATCATATGCAACTTGGGCATTAAATCCTGATTAGGGATCTCCCTGCTTCAAGTTTTAACTCTATCCAAATATACTAATCATGAAGCTGGTCAGGGAAGTTAGGCATTTGGGAAATCTATGAATTCTATCAAAGCTAAAATTGTTATTGTCGCCTTGTCATGACCCCAATTAAAGTTTCCGAAGATGCGATCCACTTGCTGATGTGGTCTCAGTGAGAGGTATGCGTGTAATATGCACATGACTTCCCTTTTATTAGAGAAAACGAAGTTGAACTATTATTAACCATCGAAATATACACACAAGCATCTGTTACTTTGCACGCACGCACAAACACACACAAGCTAGGCAGAGATCAGATTGAAGGGGGAGGCCAGGGAACAGAGCTAGCTTTCAACCCTCACAGGAACCTTCTCTTCTTTCCAGTAAAATTATGATGATTAAGATGCACGATACCGGGATTCACATCCAAAGATGGTGAAGACATTCGAGAATTCCCATGAAATGCTAAACTCAAAGAAGTGGGAATAACATCATCGACCTTCTCATTATCATTGTCAAAAGGAGGAGGGTTTCGCCACTGTGGAGGCGGTGCAAGGAGAAGTGTGTGAAGCAAAGGACCAGCCTCTGTCACAGTTCGTAGCAATCTACCTTTCTGAGGCAAAGGTTTGCCACAAACCAGTCTATCAACCATATTAATGTCTCTAGAAAGAGCGACATAATCTGACTCCTTTGTTCCGCCACTGGCAAGAGATAAATAATCACAATGAGAAGTGAATGATTTATAGCTCGTACCTGAGCAGTGTTTGGTGCTCACTGATGATTTCTTGCTCGTGTGAGGTGGAGTACATGGCTGCAATTTTCTGAGTAGGACTTGAATTTGGCGTCTTGCTTCATCTCTTTCTTGGCAAACTATTTTCAACTGCTGCATCAAGCGTTTAATGGTCTCCTCGTATTTCCTTATCTTTGTGTTGTCTTCCATCGTTGACGACTTCCATTGATGTTTGGTGCGCGCTAGTTTATCCTTAATCTCATCTATACTCTGTCATTAGCAAATGGTTTTAGCTAGCTCCTAGAAACTCAAAAGTAAGCATAAGAGAAATATCAACTTCTGATCATAATATGAGGACCCGAAAAAAAAAAAATTGTAGCAGGCTTGTTTGGGTGCGTCCTACAGCTAGGCAGCTAGCAGGGGCTCTCTTGTTATACTGTGTGTGTGTGAGGACAAAAGAGCGAGTATGCGGTAGTTAATGACTTGCTACTTGTTAGAATAATTGTTTTACATTTGAAACATCAGTTTCAAAAGTTGCACCTTGAAACCTGTTATTAATCACACACAACTTGGTGAAAAACTGGAAAGATGAAGCTGTATCCACACCTAGGGATATATTACATATGATTATTAGGACGAACTATTCTTTAATTAAGAACAGTCTAAAGTACGTTTGCTTCACTATAGAGTAACATAACACATACTCTTCAAACTATAAAAACTACTGATAGATACCATAAGGATAATTGATTACTACTTGCCAAATTAGACACCGATTATGGGCTTTAATTTCAACCCGTCACTGTGCCGCACTCGTCTTCAATTTGTATTCAGAAGTGCCTAAAGGAATTAATGGAGATTGACTGATTCATCATAACTATCACCTAATAAAATAGTTTTACTGGCTTGTCCTTTTGCCGCCAGTGAGTTCTCATATATATATATATATATATATATATATATATCAAAGCAAAACCAGTGGGAGATAGAGGGTGCATATAATAAGAGGGGAAAGAAGAAGAATTATTATTACCTGGTAGTGAGGGGTCCAGAGATGAGGCATCATGGCCGCACGGAGATGATGAAACGGAGGAAGACGAACAAGCAAGGAAGCAGATTAAGCGATGCAGATACTAGATAGCGGCAGTGACTGGTCGGAGTGGGTGGCCTTTTTCTGTGAAGTTGGGGAGACAACCTTATATACGCGAACTGCATACATGCACCAAAAGTTTCGTTGCAGACAAGAAAACTATTTAAGGACAGATTATCAAATCTAAAAAAGCCTGTGAGATTAAGATACACACACACATATGTTTTATTATTGGACAAGGATTGCGTGGATCGTGCCCCTTTCCGTGGTTAATGGGATTCTGTCTCCCCCCAAATTATCGTCCTTTCGTCAAATTAAACTGTGTCAGGACCTACATTCCATTCCACTGTTACTCCGTTTCTGAACTAACAGCTTTCACGGATTATCGACACCGCCCCTTGCTTGTTGCTAACCGCATCTCACACTGATACTACATGGGGAAATGTCTCTGACTTGTGTTGATGGAAAATACATCAGAGAGTATCGATTCTGTGTTTACAAAATTCACATGATATAATACTCCTCTTATCTTTAACAGAGAACTCAATTATTGAGTTGATTTTGCTCTTTTATATATAAGACCCATTTCTCATATTTATTAATTTTCTCTAAATTACTCTTATGGATACTCCCTCAACCATAATAAAGTAGAAGAGGAAGAGGAGTATTAAGAAAGATGATTATGGTATTTTAAGAAAAACGTGTCGCATTTCTTATAATTAACTAACTTGCCTAACTTTCTTAATCTAGTAAACTACGAACAGCTATAGCTCATAGAATTTTATATATCTTCGGTCGTGGGCACTTGGAAATGCTAGCATAGGGATTTGAGGGGAAAAAGCGGGGGTGGAAAGTTGATGAAAAATATTTTGTGTGTTTCCTAAATGACAAAGGGCCTCCATGTACATGCATGATTTGACTTCAAAAAAGAGAGTTTTCGACGCGGCAAGGTTTCCTCAATAGTAATGCCGTCGGTCCCTTCAGAAGAAAAGGAACAGAAACAGGCCTTGACCAGTTGACCCGTTTTTGTTAAGAAAAAATTATTATTCTGTTTTCTCCTCACCGCCAAATGATTTAGTTAGAGGATAATTCAAAGGCAGAAACAACTCACGGTTTACCTCAGGCAAATAGCAGTCAAAGATAAATTAAAGGAAATACCACCTCACTCCTTGATAGCTAATTAGCTAATTTGAGTATATTAAATAAACTAATTAAGTCAGTTATTCATAATAAACATGTGTTGTCTTTTCTAAAATATCCTTGCTAATCATGTATATTAGCTAGAACCATTTAATAAAACTTTTAATATGCACAATTAATCATTACAATGACTATCTTAAAAAAATCAATGAACATGAAAAAAAAAGTAAATTAGGGTTTTATTCTTATATTAAGAACTAAAAGTCGTAATAAACAAGAATAAAGAGAAACCTTCAGTCTCCATGACTAGAAGGGAAAAGAAAAACTTAATTTTCATTTTATATATAACTATATATGTTATATTAGAGTAAATTTATGACATGATTCATAAAAATATTTTCTCAATTAGCCTTTGCAAATTAAAATCTCTTAATTTAGTTTTTTTTTTCCTGATCAAATAAGCCCTTCTTTTTTTTTTTTTTGACCAGAAAAATAAGCCCTTCTTTAGACAAAGCGACGATAAGTTAATATATTATGAGTGAAAAACTCATGCCTGATGTAATCATCTGGATGGCTATACAAATTTATTGAACTTTTGACTATTTTACCAACCCCACTGCCGCCTCAAAAGGGAAAAGAAAGACTGCTCTGTTTTTTAAACAAAGGGACAAGTTATAGATATTAAGAAAATTAACTACATTAATTATTAATATTAAATGTGTATGTTTTCCATAAAATATTTCCGCTAACCATTATTAAAAAATTATCAATTTCTGAGGTATAATCTGTAGACAAGCCCGATAATAACTTAGGCCCAAGTCCAATGAGATGCATAAAGCAAAATAGCAGCCAGACTGTCGGGACAACTGACGCCGCCGTGGAGTTTTTGACAGAAGACGACGGCTGGTGAGAGGGAGTTTCCACCACTGTTGAGTCAGACATGGCCATGACCGCCACCATTTCTCTTCCTTTCACATCCTCCCGTCGCCGCTCTTCACCGTCCAGCGGCCTCCCTCGTTCTTCAACATCCTTACGTGCTTTCCCTTCCAGTTTGCCTCTATCTCGATATTCCGTCGAGTGCCCTAGTTTTCGCATTATAGCTTCCTCAATGAGCATTGAAACCCCCGTGAAAAGTTCGTCCGTTTCTTTCTTAGACAGAAAAGAGTCTGGGTTTCTCCATTTCGCCAAGTATCACGGCCTCGGCAATGACTTCATTTTGGTAAGTCTGAAGTCAATGCTTGCAGTCTTCCCATTCTTCACTCTGATGAAGTAATTTGGTGCACTATATGAAAACTTAGATAATAATTATTTTTAAATGTTCCTTGCTTTTCTCTTTTCATTATGATTTTAATTTATTTGGCCATTTTGAGTGATTTTAAATAGGTCGACAACAGAGACTCTCTGGAGCCTAAGATCAGCTCAGATAAAGCTGTTCATCTATGTGATCGTAACTTTGGGATTGGTGCCGATGGAGTTATCTTTGTCATGGCTGGCACTAATGGCGCTGACTATACCATGAGAATCTTCAATTCTGATGGTAGCGAGCCTGAGGTGATTTCTCTTGCCTCAAGTGTTATATTTCCCTATCTTACGATCCCGTGGGTCTTTTTGTTGGAATTTGGGGACATTTCGATATCTTCAGTTTTTGGAGAGTGCTGGATGGACCAGTTCTTTCTTTCTTTCCTTCCTTTTTCTTTTTGTTTTTTTTGAGCGATAGACTTCATCATGTTTAATAATTTAACCTTATAATCCTTAGATGTGTGGAAATGGAATGCGGTGCTTTGCCAAATTCGTTGCTCAGCTTGAGAACTTACACGGTAGGCAAAGGTAAGGACCATTTTTTTTTTTTCCTTCCATTGGTAAGAACATCCACTGGTGGAGTTTTCTTTTCTTTTTTTTTTTCTTTTCCTCCTCATCTTTTACTCCGTGGTGAAATTTATGTTAAAAACATAATTTTTGCATACTTAAACAGTGGCGCCTTTATAATTATCACTAGATAACCGATGTATGTTCATATTTTGTTGAACTACTTTTTCTTATCTTGCAGTTTTACTGTACATACTGGTGCTGGCCTGATTATTCCAGAAATCGTAGAGGATGGAAATGTATGTTCTTTTGTGGGATTGTGTCGTTGTATACTTTAAAGACACTAGGTCATGTCACCTAGCTGCCAAAATGCCTTTCATGCCTGAACGCTGTAGTCATTATCATTTTGAATGGTTTTAAACATGTAAGGGAGGTCCCTTTCTGTCCCTTATCTGGTATTGTTTTTTTGGTCTAAGTTGCTACAAAATGATGCTGGTTCAGGTCAGAGTTGACATGGGGGAGCCAATTCTTAAAGCGTCAGATGTGCCTACTAAATTACCTGCAAATAAGGATCACTCAGTTGTTAAGGCAGAGCTAGATGTAGATGGAGTTATCTGGAATGTAACATGTGTTAGCATGGGAAATCCACATTGTGTAACATTCGGTACAAAAGAAAGTCAGGTTCGTATTCTAGACATATGTGTTATAGATGCTGCAAATTTGTAATTTTTGTGTTATGTTTTCTGTTTCCTGAACTTAGAAATGTATTGAAAGGAAACATACCTGTAATAGGATATGCATACTTGTAGATGCTGACACACTCAACTGAAGATTGAACTCAGCCACATCAAAAGAAATTTTTTTGAGAATTTGCTTTTCTAAATGTCATTAATCTTTAATGGGCTTACTTAGCACATGTTTTAAATGCAAGCATTCTGCTATCTTACAGCTGTGCCAGACATTTGACTTTTTCTTTCCCTTTGGGCATGTAGTTCATGTTTATTTTGTTGCTTGTGAACAGAACTTATTGGTCGATGATTTGAACCTAGCAGAAATTGGTCCTAAGTTTGAACATCACAAGGTGTTTCCTGCACGAACAAACACAGGTTTGTGTTGGCCATTAATATGATTGAAATGCTATTTTAAACTTTTTTAAAGGTTTTTTCCCCCTCCTGCCCTTTTCATTTTTCCTAGTATGATTTGTGCCTCTGCTTTCCTTTTTCTTGCGCTTATGGTTATGATGCTGAATGTATTGGCTGGTAATAGAGAGTCACAGGAGCAGAAAATGCTTCCGGGTTGATGGCTCCTTGATCTTTATCAATGCTACCTCGTTCAATTTGTGGGTAACACTGCTTTTGTTGTTTGCTTTTTGTTTTTTTGGTAAAAAGAGTTGCGGTGGTTAGTTGCATCAAAGGACCCTTATCATGTGCCGTCGACTCCTGGCACAAGTCTTTAAAATTTTATTTTAATTACCATTTTTTAGATGATTGCGAATTTTAAAACAATCCAATTGATGAAACTTCCTGGGAATTCCACGTATCCTTGGAGATTACCATTCCTCTATTATAAAGACCTAAATGATTGTGGTGAGATCATTACTCTTATCATGTGGCTATCCCTCACACCTCATGATTGGCATGGTCTGTCGTGTGATTTCATTTGCAGAATTTATTCAAGTTCTGTCTGATCATCACCTAAAGATGCGTGTTTGGGAGCGTGGAGCAGGTTAGAATGACTAGAATCTATCTTAATGCATTTGATAAGTACATAGACATTATTGCTAGTCAGCATCTAGCAAAATCAAAGGTGCACCTAACTTTTACATTTGACGGCTCTTCTTTTAAATTCTTAATGTGCAGGAGCAACTCTAGCCTGTGGAACTGGAGCTTGTGCTGTAGTTGTTGCGGCAGTTCTCGAGGGTCGTGCGAAGAGGGTAAGCATGCTAATGTAGACAAAGATCTGCAGTGCTGTGCTAATATTTTTCATTTGCTATAGAATTGGGCAAACTACATCTATTTGGTTGGGAAAATAGGGATATTGTGCCCCCTGTAGTGTAATTTTAGCGGATCTTTTATTTCAAGGAATCTGGGGTAGAAAGTGTGCCTGCAAGTGGCAACATGAAAATTGTTAATTGTTTATTACCAAATTATTAATTATCTGTTCAGAACAACCAAGTGACGCTTCAATCGAGTTTTTTTTTTGGGGGGGTTAAATCAGCATTTTGATGCGAATAATGAATTCTTTCGATAAAATTTTCTAGTTTTCCCTGTTAATCGTAATTATTTTGTTAAGTGCTTCTCTATTTTAAAATTCTTGTTAACTGTCTTTTGCATCAAGAGAACTGTTTGGCTTTATAAATTAGAGATCTCTATTATCTGGGAAAAGGCTAATTTATGATGGATATTCAGTTATAGTTCAAACAGTATCGTCTGATCTTGATATTTTCTATAGCTAATCCCGCTCATCGAGGCCATTAAAACTTTGGTTTGGGGATTGTGACAGATTTGCAGGGTTGATCTACCCGGAGGGCCATTGGAGATTGAGTGGAGAGAGGAGAATAATCATGTGTATTTATCGGGCCCAGCTGAAGTAGTTTATTACGGATCTTTACCCCTTTAATTTGTTGTTCTCTCTGATATTTATGGTTAAGCTTGACAACCTTCTGGACTTTCCAGCTCTCTGTATTATAGAATGGCAACATTTGTCCCGTCGTAGTTTACTCTCACTTTGTGTTGATTTCAATATTTTCGAATTTAGCTTCTGACGGGTTTATTGTATTGCATTCACCGTTTCCCTAGGAAAATGAATTCCTGTCTGCAGATATATGTTTGGAATCTGATAATAAGATGAAATTTTAACATGCTACCGTGCGATGGGCATTTTTATTTTTGATTTAATTCCCAGGCATACTTTAGTTAGTATTTGGAATCTGATGATAATATGAAATCATGCAAAATGAAATTTGGATGGTCAGGTATGGTACAAAATATTCAGTCATTCTAATTTCTAAGTTGAACTACTCTAAGATTTGAAGTGTCTTAAGAAATTTTTATTGATGATGCAGTAGGATTTGTGTTTTGCTAATCTGAATTTTCTTCTGCTGAAGTTGTGGGAGCCGACGCAAGTTTAAAGATTAGCGTAAGCAAAAGAAAAGGGAAGACAATATTTTTAAATAAATAAATAAATAAAATCTTGGGCTTAGCCACTACTCTTGTACCAGAAAAATTCCAAATCTGTTAATCTAGAGCTAATACAATCAAGAAACAAAAGACCACCGGACACGGTAACGTACCAATTGAGGCAGTGATTCACGGTTCTAAGTCAGATTAAGTTAACTCGAAACCAAATTAGTCATATTAAAATAATAAAATATAATTAAAAATAATAAAACACATAACTCCTAAAGTAAATTATTTGTCACGATTATATAGTGTTGTTTGGAATTGCGCCATTCATGCAGTTTACCAATAAGAATTAGTCCAGTTGATAAGAAATCAACTCATGACCCACAAGGTCGTGAGTTTGAATCATATTGTCGATATAAAAAACCTTATTAGTGAGTAATATGCAAGTACCTCTGTAACCGTTCTTTAAGCTAGGAGATATATCTTGGTCCTGACAAACCCAAGACCCAACTTATCTAATTTTCTTTTTTTTACAAAAAAAAATTCATGTGGCTTATTTGTTACATTTATTAATTAATTAAAAAATTTTATATAATACGACAATTTAGCAGGTGGGACATAATAGTTGGTCCTGACACTTATTTATGAAAATTTATTATATAATAAATCATAACATATAGGTTGTAATATGAAACTTAAGGTTGACATATATACTTCTGATTTTATTTATAAGATCTTTTATAAATTATAAATAAGGTCTTATAATTAGGATTGGAGGTAGGGGTGAGTATTCGATTTTTCGGTTTGGTTATTGGTAATAACCGAATTAACCGAATAATCGAATAGAGCAAATTTTAAACACCGAACCGAATTAACCGAAATATTTTGATTCGGTTAACCGATTAACCGAAATATATAAATATGAAAGTGATTTTAAATTAATAATAATAAAAAAACACAATTACAACCATTAATTATTAAATATTTCATCATTTAATGTGATTCATTATAATAATATTTATTATAACCATATTTATTGAATATAAATATATTTAAAGAGTTCATATAAACCTACATATATATTTATTATAATAATATTTATTAAATATAAATATATTATATATTTATTTCGGTTATAACCGAAATTTTTTTCTACTAACTGAACCGAACACCGAAACCGAATTATTACAAAAATAAAAAAAAAAACCGAATATATAATCGAAACCAAAATAACTGAACCGAAAAACCGAAATTAAATTCGGTTTGGTTCAGTTTTCTGTTACGGTTCGGTTTTGCTCACCCTTAACCGGAGGTAGTATTTGAAATCAATCCTACATAATTATAGGATAAATATAAAATTTTCACAGCTACTTCAATTTTTCTCTTTAATGACTAAAAACATTATGTGCAATTTTTAATTCATTTCCCATCATTAATAATACTCCTCCGGTCCTTAATATAGGACCCAATTCTTGAGTTGGTTTTGATCCTAAATATAAGACCCATTTCTCATATTTATCAATTTTCTCTAAATTACCCCTATAGATATTCCCTCAACTATAATCAAGTAGAAGAGGGAGAGGTGGTATTAAAAAAGATGATTATGGTGTTTTAGGAAAAAATGTGTCACTTTCCTTATAATTAGCTAACTTACCTAACTTCCTTAATATAATCAAATTAGTTAAATGGGTCTTATATTAAGGATCGGAAGAGTAATAGTTACGTGTTACATAAAAATGGAGATTCTCCATTCCCTGCTGAGATGTTTGAATGGCTCTAAATATTGAAAGTGACTTTCAGCCCAATAACGTGACCCAATAAAAAGTGGGAGTCTTAGAGAAAGGCAAGCGCCTGGTTTGAAATTTTGAGAGATGGCGGGTCCCACATTCCGCCCAGTGCAGGACCTCTCTGCATGACTCTAACGGCTATCTCGGCCTACAAATGCTCTCAATTAGCCGTTGCCAGTGCATCTCACTCCCATTTTTCACTTTTGAAAATACGCTTCTAAACAGCGAAATTCACCCCCAAGTAGAACTACCAAAGTCGGGGCAACACTCAGATCGCCAAAGGAAAGATCAAAGGAATCTCTTTCTGATCACTCTTTCTCAGGTTCTCGGCCCCTCCGTGTATATTCTCTGCCAAGATAACTGTACGTTTTTTCTTCGGTCTTTTATCTTCTTACTTCATGTATGGGTTCATTGGTTGCTGAGAAATTTGAGCTTTCAATTCAATCTCCGGACTTCCCTGGTCGTTCGATCTGAGATGTTCAATTTGCAATTGGGTTTTGCAGTCAGACAGAGATTATCATTTTTATGACAATATGCTGATGGGTGCTCCTTCATTTTTTTATGCAGGCTATTGTAAAAGAGAAAAATGGTGTCAGTAACGCCTGATCAGTCTAAGAAGGTGGGATTGGGACTGTCAGCATCTCCATCTCCATTTCTCACTCCCCGCCCTGAGCGGCGACGCCCCGACTCAAGAGGTTCTGACTGGAACCCTAACCGTCAGGAGAGGGATAAGGAGACCAATGTGCAAGTTTTGCTTAGATGCAGGTTGCTTGTTGCGTTTTTTTTGGCCCCCTAATTGTTCTTGCATTTGCTTAACCTCTAAAAGACTTACGTTGCGAACGTTGTTTTTGTCTTGTTCTGTTCTGTTTTCCCTTTTCCTTCCTAAACTGTCTGTCATCCTTTATCTGAGAGCATTACTTTACAGTTTGAGCTTTAACCAAGTGATAATTTGGATAGTTGAGCTACAAGTGTGGCAAGCTTGCAAAACTATTCTAGTGTATTCATTATTGTGCATGTTATTTGTAACCGAGAGTATTGGGTACGCATGTTGATCGGGTTTGATGAGAAAATCCGGATGTTCAATCTTTAAATCAGGCCATTAAGCGACGATGAACTAAGGCTGAACGTTGCCAGCATGGTGTCATGCAATGAGCATAGAAGAGAAGTCACCGTTACCCAAACTCTTGCTAACAAGCAAATAGATAGAGTTTTTGCCTTTGACAAGGTATACTTCTTTTACCTTTTGATGCTATCTTGCTCAATGATACTACCTATGGTATATGCGGAGTAGTAATTTGACTTAACCTCAAGTTAATTTTTACTTTTTGCGTTGCTTAGGTTTTTGGACCCAAAGCACAGCAAAGATCAATATATGACCAAGCAATTGCCCCGATTGTTAATGAGGTCCTTGATGGTTTCAACTGCACTGTCTTTGCTTATGGCCAAACAGGCACCGGTAAAACGTATACAATGGAGGGTGGGATGAGAAACAAGGTATTGAATTATTGTCCATCGTGCTTCTATTTTCCCTTATTGTGTTATGTGTCTCTTTTATCACGGCAAGTATGTCATGTCCCATGATTGATGCATAGGGTGGAGATTTACCAGTCGAGGCTGGTGTTATTCCTAGGGCAGTTCGCCAAATTTTTGATATGTTGGAGGCACAGAATGCAGACTATACCATGAAAGTTACATTTCTTGAACTTTACAATGAAGAAATTACCGATTTATTGGCCCCTGAAGACAACTCTAGGTCTGTAGAAGAAAAGCAAAAGAAACCTCCTACTCTTATGGAAGACGGGAAGGGCTGTGTGTTTGTAAGAGGTCTAGAAGAAGAATCTGTTTATGGAGTAAATGAAATTTATGCCCTGCTGGAACGTGGGGCATCAAAAAGGCGCACAGCTGATACATTGCTTAACAAGCGAAGCAGGTGGATTTCCTTTTGACTTAACAAAGTTTTTTGAGCAAGTAGATGCCATTTTTTCACCCAATCATGTTATTTTGGTGCAGCCGCTCACATTCAGTCTTAACAATTACCATATATGTGAAAGAAGCAATCATTGGTGGTGAGGAATTGATTAAATGTGGCAAGCTTAATCTTGTTGACTTGGCAGGTTCAGAAAATATATTGCGCTCAGGAGCACGTGAGGTATAGGCAATGTTCCACTTAATTCCTGATCATTCATTAATTGCATGTTCATCAACAAGCAAAGCAGCAGTACTAGTATCATGTTCAATTGAACATCTAACCCCATTAAGTCTGCATACCTACCTTTTTCCTTTTTTTTCTTTTGTGGGTTCTTACAAGCAGAATGACATTCTGAGTTTGGTGTACATCTCATAAGATGTTGGAAGGAAGTGAGGAAGGGGGCAGATGGTTTTGTTATGCTTTTGAAGTCTGGAAATTTCAAATGACTTTCATGACAGTTGTTTTTTCCAATTTTTTCGGTGTTTAGACCTTCAATATGCTTGCCATAATTTCTTAATTCTGTGTGCATTAACAATTGCCAATTGCAGGGTCGTGCAAGAGAAGCAGGGGAGATAAACAAGAGCTTGCTTACCCTTGGACGGGTCATAAATGCACTTGTGGAGCATTCCGCTCATGTGCCTTACAGGTTCACCCAAATATCTTATTCAACCATAATGCATGCATTTAAGGTCTTGATGTTTTCCTTAATATGCATGCCATTTTGGTTTTTTGTTCCAGGGATAGTAAGCTTACAAGGATTTTAAGGGACTCCTTAGGGGGGAAAACAAAAACATGCATAATAGCTACTATTTCACCATCTGCTTATTGTTTGGAAGAAACATTAAGCACACTGGATTATGCTAGTCGTGCCAAGAACATAAAGAATAGGCCCGAGGTTAGGTTCACCTCTTGTGATCTCATATGGATTTCTAAATGTAATTATTATTTCTTTGGGATGATGATCGAAGCTCATGTTAATTATTA